AATCCAGGAACTGTAAATATAGGACTTTACTAGTCCAAAGAATAGGATCTGGGTTGGGGATATAGCACAATTGATAGTGTACTTACCTAACATGCACAAAGCCCTGGGTTCAATCTTCAGCACCCAATAAACTTTGTATAGTGGTGCATGCCTGTAATTCTAGCACTGGGGAGGTGGAGGCAGGAAGATCAGAAGTTCAAGTTCAAGGTGTCTTCTGATAGTGAGTTCAAGATCAAGATCAGCCTGGGATGCCTAAGACCCTGTTAAAAGGAAGAGAGAGGGAAGAGGAAGATGGAGAGGAGAGGAGGGGAGGGGAAGGAAGGAAGAGGGGAAGGAAGGAAGGAAGGGGGAAGAAGGAAGGAAGGAGAGAGAGAAGGGGGAGGGAGAGGAAGGTAAAGAGAAAGAGGGAGGGAGAAAGGTAGGGAGGTAGAAAGAGGGAAGGAAGGGAGAGAGGGAAGGAGGGAGGGAGGGAGGAAGGAAGGAAAGAAGGAGAGCAGAGAGAAGGAGGGCGGGAGGGTAGAAAGGAATGTTGTGAGTTATGGTTTTTTGCTCTGGGTGTCAACATGACTTCCTGATGCCAGTTAAGTTTATAATATCACTGGCTGGCTGGGGGCTTTCTGGTAAAGGACAAGGCCATACTATTGTACCCTCTGTAAGAGTTAACCCACATGGACTTTTAAATCATCTGATCAGAAGAAAGCCCTTCAGGGAAAACTATTCCAAGGCTTTAGAAATAGTGTATAGAGTACTTAAAATGCAGATAGACATGATGGTTGCTTTGGCCATTGCTCTGAACCCTTCAGAGTGCTCACCTTACTTGTAATAAACTCTATCTTCTACTCTGTGCTTTGTGCCCCTAATGTGAATTCTTTCAATGGAGATCACAAGGACTGGGGTGTCCAGGGGAGTCCTGAGCAAGATCCTGCTGATAATGGGGTTGCTTCTCCATCCCATCTCTTCTGATATGATTCACTTATTCATATTTTTGCTCTAGCACAATTTTCCTTCCTACTTGGGTTAAAGAGTGTTAATATCAATTATAATTATGAATTGTGCTGCTCTGGGATTTGAAATTTTCAATTGTGATAAAATACACTTGACATAAAATTAACCACCTTAGTCATTCTTAAGCATATAATTTGTTGGTATGAATGGCATTTGCATGGTAGTGTCATATCATCGCCACCCATCTCCTTTAGAACTCTTCTGATCTTGCAAAACTGACATTTTGAACCAGGAAAATCGTGGCTGCTCCAACCTCTGCAGCCACCTTTAATCTGCCTGCTTCTGTGAATTTGAGGCATGTATTGAGGCATGTACCTCAAATAATTGGAGCCCCTAAATATTTGTGATTTTGTTTTTTTCACTTAGCGTCGTGTTTCTAGGTTTTTATCCATATTGTGGTATGTGACAGAATTCCCTTTCTTCTGAGGGTTGGACAATATTCTTTGCATGTCTACACCTCTGTCCCTAGACATTTGGGATCCTTCAGACTCATGGCTGTTATAAGTCATAGTGCTATGATCCCATCTTCCATTACCTTTAGTTGTGGACTTAGGAGTGGAATTGTTGATTATACAGCAATTGTAATTTTAATATTTTTAAAGAGCTATCATACTGTTTTCCACAGTGGCTGTACACAGTGTACATTCCTACCAATTACAAGTCTTTTGAAAAGATGTTAGTATAGTTAAATTATCAATTTTATACAGAGTGAGAGAGAGAGAGAGAGAGAGACTTTCCTCAGAAACCTCAAAAACACTGTTGACTGTGCATGTACTAGTGCTAAACATGTGGCGATCTTAGAGTCAGGACAGTGGATTTTAAACTCCTTACCATTTGTGCAATTGATTTGATGTTACAATATCCAGCCTGGTAGATACCATCTGAAAATTTACATATGGATGTGGTAGAGGCATTTTGTTTTACAGAATGTTTTGGACATTTTTCCTAGTTATTTGACTTTTAGTCTATAACCCTTTCAGATTAGCCACAGAGGCAGAGTTGCAGGAAAAGAGATGTGGAAAATCATTAAAAACCAGATATATCTAGTTAGATGGTCACATATATCCTACCCAGGTAATGTAGTACTTTTTCCAGCAAAGGGAGAAAGAAATGCCTTTAAAGTCAGCTTTGATCAGCCCCTAGTCCTATGAGATAGACTATACTCAAATATTGCCAAATGAATGAAATATTTTTGATACATTTAACACAAGCATGAATTGTTCTCATATAAAGAATCTCTTCCTAGTTATTTACAAAATTTGTTCTAAAAAGTAACTCCCTTAGGTACAAATGCATGAAAATACTGATCATAATTAAATGAACCATATTAAATCCATATTAATTGATGAATACCAGAAACTTAATTTTCAACATTTTTGAAAACCACTTATGATATTTAAATTATATAAAAAAAACCCTGACAAATTGTTAAAGAAGTGTCTCCGTTAAAGAAATAGGCAGAATTCTTATATTCTAGGTCAACTACTTAGCCATAAAGCTCTGCTTGAGGGTTTATAATTACATATGGTATATGTATATATACACATATATGTATATATGGTGCAAATGGTACATATGATAATAATTGTCATATGGTATCCGATGTACCAATAAAATTATGGAGAATACCGCTCCTAAAATATTCTGTATTATAAAATTTTTGCTAATTCACATTAAAGTTCATTTAAATTAGTTAGAATTACTGATTATCTTATTTGATGAAAATTATGGAGATCTTAGATTTGGAGAAATTAAAAAGTCCATGCTTAACTGAACCCATTTCAGTGACTTTTAAAAATTATACCATTTAGTAACAGAAATGGTTGAGTGACTGTTTCTTAAAGCCCCCACTCTGGGTAGAGAAGACCAGTTTACAGCTAATCAGCCCATATCCGTCAGTGCTGCATAGCTAACCCTAATGAAAATTATGGAGATCTTAGATTTGGAGAAATTAAAAAGTCCATGCTTAACTGAACCCATTTCAGTGACTTTTAAAAATTATACCATTTAGTAACAGAAATGGTTGAGTGACTGTTTCTTAAAGCCCCCACTCTGGGTAGAGAAGACCAGTTTACAGCTAATCAGCCCATATCCGTCAGTGCTGCATAGCTAACCCTAATGTACAGGACTGGTGAGAAGTAGCTCCTTCTGAGGAGGAGAACTTACATGGTGCAGTTGCTCAGGCTGAGCATGAAGCAGATGAGGAACATGCGGGTTTGGAGCATTCATTTTATTTCTAAGATTTTCTTTCTGGGCTTTGGCTGCCAGAGTGTCACCAGGTAGATGAAATTTCTGCCCTTTTCCCATCATTCCTGGTCTCCTTCGAATCCCAGTGTTGCATTTCTTTCTGTCAGCTGACTGATGAGCCATGAGCAGGATTCCTTACAGCACAGGAACAGAACAAAAAATGTAAAGGGCCACTTCCTGTTGATGGACCAGCTTCCCATCATCTCCCTGTTAACTTGAGCCTTCACAGGACATGAAACCTGGAGGTCCCTGAGATCCTTCAGCTCCCAGAGTGGCTCAGCATTCTTGTCCAGCCTACTTGTTTTCAAAGACTGATTCCTGTGAGAAATGGCTAGCTCGAAGAGGATTGTTGGGAAACCCAGCTGGACCTCATTATTTAGAAAAAGTAAAACATTTATTTTAATGATGTTTTGGGCACATTCCATTTGAAACTATATTTTACTTATTGTGATATCCCAATTAGGGTGGTGGTAATTTGTTTCAAAGTAGAAATGTATAACTATATTGCTATATATATATATATGCACATGCAGGTATGTTTTATATGTATATATGTTTATTGTATGTCTTCAGACAATACAGAAATCTATAGGAAAATAGTATTGTACACTCAGGGATAATTGCTAGTGCTCTTCTGTAAACATCTTAGACTTGTTTTGTATGGTTTTATCAATAGATTACTGGAGAAAACTTTTAAAATAAGATCATATGCTACCCGTCTTATAATACCCCTTTATATATAGTTTCATTGAACAGATACACATTTTCATCATAGACTGTCATGATTCTTCATATTCCAGTGTATAAGTATGCCACCTGTGGTTGCTTGTAATTTTTCACAAACACAAAATATATTCTTATACATATATTTATATATTTGATATAGAAACATGTAAAGACTAGTACCAACCCATGCCTCTATGATTTTATCTTACTCATTTACATGCTTGTTTCTTTGCTGTGAACATTTGAAATGGAATTGTTGTATCAAAAAGTATATGGTTTAGACCAGTATGGTGGCACAAGCCTTCAATTCCAGTACTCAGTAGGCAGAGGCAGGTGGATCTTTGTGAGACTGAGGTCAGCCTGTTCTACATAGCAAGTTCAAGGCCAGCTAGGGCTACAGGGAGACTCTGTCTCAACACCCCCTCCCATCAAAAAAGAGTATATGGTTATTTGGTTTCACAAATTTTGAAAACACTTGCAAAGTTGCTCTCTAATAATTTGTCAGTCGACTTGTCTACCATTGTGGTGAGCAGGTGCCCATGGCCCCAGCAGCCTTGGAAATCAGGAATATTAAAAGCAAAGCAATGGGCTAGAGAGATGGTTCAGTGGTTAAGATTGCCTGTTGCCCAATGAAGAGAACTGAACTTTGAATCCCAGCATGCATGTTACAAGCTGGCCTTCCTATAAACACCTGTAACTCCAGCTCTGAGGGATCCCACATCCTCTTTTTGCCTCCATACCTGCATACACACACATCCATACACATATACAAACATACATGAATGAATGAATAAATAATATGATCTTTTTTAAAAAGCAATGCTTTAAAGGAAACCCAACCGAGCATTTTAGATTCTATGAAGCTTAACATGAGTGTTAAGTGTGTGTTTCTGGTTACTGAAAAGCTCAATCCACCACGTAGGTCATTATCTCACCAGCGTGTTTATTTACCTGAGATTGTACAAGTTCCCTTCTGACAGCCTATGACTGTGTTTCTCTCATCCTGTGCTCTTCTCTCTTAGATTGAGGAAGACACGTGGCAGAAATACTACTTGGAAGGAGTCTCCAATGAAATGTACACAGAATATCTCTCCAGTGCCTTTGTGGGTCTGTCCTTCCCTACTGTTTGTGAGTAAGTGACTGTTTATTGGATGCTCTTTGACTCTTGGGGAAAGCCTCCTACCTATGCTTGCACTGGTTGGGGTACTTGACACTTGCTGAGGGGAATCCTTCAGTCTTAGCCTGTGTATTTGTGAACAGGAGCACAAGTCCTGACAGAGTCCCTGCCTTAGTGTTTTATGCTGGCTTAAATTTATGCTCTAGGCCTGAGAATCTTGAGACTGGAGACCTTCATTTGTACAAACTTATGAACTGCCATTGGCCTGTACATCCTGAGTTATGCTCCCATGACATAGAAACATGGAAAGGCGGCACCAACCCACATTTCTCTGGTTTTATTTTGTTTCATATTTTGGTGTTGGGGATTGAACCAGGGCCTATCATTTGCTAACTATACATCCTGGCACTGAGGTTTACCCTTTCTGATTTTAGTAGGGCAAAATCCAAATTTGCCTGTTCCAGGATAAAGGAATGTTAGTCTTCCTTCTAACCAAGTCAGTATAAAGTGACATCAGAGAAGCTGCTGAAATAGAGATACTCAAAGTGTTTTCATTATTTATTGAGTAAATATGGAGGCCTGGAAAAGATCCTGCACACACATCTACTGTGCTCAAACAGTACAGAGGCTTTGCTTCTCCTCAAAGTGGCTCACAGGGTAGATCAAAAGATGGGAACCTGCAGCAGGCAGGTCCCCCAGGCAGAACACATGGTCATCTGTGGGATGACCCGGTCTTAAAAGCTCCAGGTGTCCACCTTGAGGCACTACAATACCCCAGATTCACCACTTAGAGTCTCTGGGTTAGGGTCAAATCAAGAAGTGGGATGCATTTCCTGTGAAAGCATACTCTCTGAAAATGGTGGACCTTTAACCATGACTCACTAACACCTGACACCTTAGAAAGGTTCCATAAACTGCCTCGCTGATAAAAACTGGGAAGAAACGGGTATCTGAGATCCCACTGAGTTGAGGGAGAGGAACCATTTCTTTGTGCTGTCTATTCACAAGCCCACCTTTTAGAATTCTCGAATGGGGGCTCTAAAGGTGCTAAATCAAATCTGAGTGCCCTTCACAATAGAGAAAAGGTTTGTGGGCTTTGGGGCTCCTCTGTGTCAACAGCTCTGTTCTGTATGCAGCAAGGAGGTGACAGAGGGCTTGGTGGCTTCATGTTTACCTGGAGACTCCTGTCAGGGAACACAGCAGGTGTTCTCTCCCAGTCCCTAGGCCCAGACTCCTAAGCACTCCAAAATGGTTTGGTTGTTTACTGAAATTTCTCACCCTGTCTCTAAGCGAAAGTTTAAATGCTAAATGGACTGGAAAAGTGAATAGGTAATTGATTCGGAAGGAGTTATTTTCTGAAAATGGATGCCCTATTGCAACTCCTGTGTGCACCTTTCCTTGAGAGTGATTTCTCTTTCTGCCAAGGGAAGAAGTTAACCATTCCCAGGTACTGGAAGGCTGTGCTGGAAGGCTGGCTGTTCCAGGGTATCTGCTCCTTGGGGCTTAGCCTGCCTCAGATGGGAAGTCTAGAGAAGTCCAGTCTTACAAAGGTAAAAGGGGAGCCTGACTCCTCATGAAGGCCATTGAAGCCTTCTGTGGCAAATGCAGATGTGATCTGAGCAGTAGGGAAGAGCTGCTGTTACCTGGGGGTACAGGCCTTATGATGTAGGTCTGCTTGCTGGGGAACGGAGAAACTTCCTTCCTTGGTCATTTTATTTCCCTGGCTTAGCTAGAATTTGTGTCTGACAGGATGTTTCCCACCAGAGCTCTCTGGCTCCTCCTGATTGCCCACCCTTCTCTTCCTCTGCCCGCCCCCCCAAACTGAGTCATTTCCTTTTAAGACTAAGGATGAGCTCTGCTCTCCCTAGAGGCTGTAGCTAGGATACCCACAGGGTACATTGGACCCATTTCATTGCCATTGTTTAATATCTTAAAAACTAATTGCCAGTTTTCCTGGATAGTAGTATTTCACCAAAAACTAAATTCCTTGCCTTTCTTGAAAACTGAGGTGTCCCCACAGGACCAGTGCTTCTACCAAACGCCAACGGGCACCCACTTGCTTTAACAAAGGGGATATACAGGCTTTTTCCTTCTAAACCAGGTTGGAGTTATACCCCCAGCCCAGGCCTGGAGGGGTGTATATGTGGTTTTGCCAACTCTTCCCTTTGCAGTCTGTGAAGCTCGACCAGTCTTCAGTGCCAGCTCATGAGCCTGCTAGGTGTGGAGGGTCTGGAAAGATTTCCCTTGATTAATCTCTGTCTTTAGAACATGTCCTAATGAGGAGAAAAATCTCTCAGACCAATCTTGTTGTCAGAGAATTTAGTATTTGTTCAGTAAAGCTTCAGACTGGAAAAAATAAAACAAAACCAGAGCCAACTTCTGATATGAGTGAGAATGTGTTCAACTTAGTGCTATTATTCCTTTAATGCAGCAATTCGGCAGAGGTGGAACTAATCAATAAAGAAAGGACGTTTAATGAGATTTAGGAACAACCCAAAACATTGAAGCTCTTCTCAAGCATTTGATTATCTGGAGGCTTAATTATCTGTGTTTTCTACTTTAAATTAAAGAAAAGCCATAACTCAAAGTTACCAGCAGTTTAATGATAACACTCTTCAATTCAGGTTAATTAAAGCACCGCCGTAATTAGAGTGTAGTGTTGTATATCACCCGGCTGGTGCATAAGTATTTTCATTACTGTAAGAATTGGCTATTCAATTTCAAGATGACATAAAAGACGCTAAAATATATTTTAAGCTGGTTCGTGGAGACGAAAAAGAATCGGAGAATATTCTGGGTATAATAAAGCATAGATAAAATATACAGATTTTCAGATCGGTTTCTGTAATTATGCACCACACTAAAACAATATGCATCCGATAATGTCGCAAAACAAGGAAAGAAATAAATTTGCTCTTTCCCTGGGCTGGCAGACTGCCACCCACCCAGGAGGGTAGAAATCAGTACAGGAGAGACCCTGGAGTTTTCTCAGAATCTCAGGGTAGTCATTTTATGAAAAGAGAAAGTGGCAGCTATGTAAGCGAAATTCAAGGTCACCTCTCAAGAGGACACAGAGTCTGGAGTAATGCAGGAAGGGAAGTGACCCCAAAGCTAGCATCCTCAAAACTCAAACTCAGGGATCTCTCATATATACACAGAGATCCCTAACCACTAAGGAAGCTTTTTTATTGTACTATGTAAATGACCAAAAGGTGTCTTTGTTCCCAAACCAGAAACTAATATTGACAAAATGCAAAATCCTGCCTAACCTTCCACTGTGCTCTCCCCCAACCCCCATTTTGGGAATAAGGACCCTGAGATTCAAAGAACCGGGCCAGGGTGCTCCTTTCCAAAGCCACTTAGAAAAAAAAAATAATTGTAGAACCAGGGTCCCTATGTTGGGGCCTTGTGCGGTAGGTGCATTTGAAGCCTGGCTCATTAAGAATCTCCTAGGGACCTTATAAAAATGGAATGATATCAAAGCTTCATCTCCAGATGTTAAAATCTGGAATAAGTTTTAAAATATATATTTCCTTTAACAAACAAGTGAAGTGATTCTTATCTGAAATCTGAGGTCTGGAGACTGCCTTCTCACCCTAGCATGCCATGCCACACTCTAGAATAATCTCCTTTTGTTCCTGCTAAAAGCCTAGTCATTTGGGGCAAAGCATAGACTTGTAGGCAGGCCCCTTCTTCTAAGTTCATGTTAAGATCAGGGCCTTTGGGGGCTGGAGAGGTGGCTCGGTGGATAAGAGGCTTCACTGCCCTTGCAGGGGACCAGAGTTTGGTCCTCAGCACCCATGTTGAGCGTCTCACAACTACCTGTAACTGCAGCCTCAGGGGATCTGATGTCCTTTTCTTGTCTCCACAGGCATTCCCACACACATATGTGTACATACACACAGAGAGAAACACATATATACTCATAAGGAAAAATTTTAAAGACGATCAGGGTTTTTAAATAAACTTCCTTCTCACCAACAGTGTCAAGACCAAGAGTTTTGAAATCTGAACACCAGCAACCGCCTGCTTCCTTCCCTTCCTGCTCCTATCCTTCCTTAGCAAGTGACTATGAAGGTGCAGATAGCCTGTGTTAAGTCTACAAGAAGGTTAGGGATATGATGCCCATTTTTCCATAACGGGTCTTGCTCATTCATATTTTGGTTGTTAGGCTTAGCTTTTAACAGCTGCACCATTTCTCCAAGAGTCCTGTTCTTACACAGTTCCCACAGTAGGACACTGTACAATGAATAGAGTGAAGCCACCAAGGACTGAGCTAAACCCCCCAGATCAGCCACTTGCTGGGATAAGATTCTTGATACCTGTGTACTCTCCCTTTATGGCACCAGCGGCATGCCCTTCGTCTTGATGCATAGTCTGAGGCGCCTCTTCCCTACTAGATAATGCTCTTTTCTGTCTCTCACCCTTGCTTTTCCCTCCCTCTTTCCCATTACAAAGAATGTAACCACAAAGAAGGGAAGGAAGAAAGAAGAGAGGAAGGATGGAAGAAAGGAAGGGGGAAGGAAGAGAGGGGGGAAGGAAAGGGCGGAGGGGGGAAGGGAGGGGGGGGGGTTGGGGCAGTGGAGGAGGAGGGAAGGAGGGAGGGGAGAAGGAAGGGGGGGGGGAAAGAGGGGGGGGGGGGGGGGAGGGGGGGGGGGAGGGAGGGTGCGTACTGGTACTTCCAGCTTCCTCTTACCCTTCTGGTTAGTAAATTCTCCTGTTGATCAGTCTCACCAGCCAATAAGACAAATATTTAATATACTTGGAATATATTCACCATTGTATTAAGCTCATTGTCACTTCTAGAAGAATTAGCAATTAGAGTTGATCAAATAATAAATATGGAAAATTAACAATACTGCTTATAGATACTAAGTAGAGGATTCGTTTTTCTCTTGCTGCCTCTAGAGTTTTCAGTTTGGTTGAAGGAGGTTGTACCGGTGCTCAGACACTCCTTAAGACCTTGGTGAATGCACACAACAGGAACACAGATACTAGGGCTGCAGGAGATGCTC